CATTTAAATTATTTTTTTTTTAAAAAAAAAAAAATAAAAACGTATTTGAAATTCCTAAATAAATGATAAATAATTCAAAAAAAAGACGTACCAAAATAAACATTACATCCAATCAGATAAACGCAATTTAAGAAAAAAAGGTAAATATTCCAACTTCTTTATTTGTAAATGTTGGCATGCAAAAAAATGAAAGAAAAATAATTAATCATTATATGCATACAAGTAACTCATAATACTTCACAATACTTTATTTACATCTGTGCAAATGCACAGGGTCGAATACTAGTGTATATTAATATTACAAATGTTATATTGTTGTTTATTTTATTATCTAGAATACGACATTTCGCCTTGAAAGTAATTATTATAATTTTTTAAAAAATATAATTGTCTAACGATTATACATATCTAAATATCATTCTATACCTAGTGAAAATATGGAGGTTATAAACCAAATTATGTTCATTAATGATGTTGTTAGGTGTTGATATAAAAAATCGTACTAACACCAAAATATTAATCAAATTTTGTATGAAATGAAGAAGATGATGGATGAAGTTTCTTTTTTATTTATTTATTTTCGGAGACTTTTTTATCCTTATTATTTAGATCAATTATTTATCTCTCCTAACTGGGAGATCGGTCCTCAATAATTATAGCCATATATATATGGCCTAACATGTGGACAAGATAATAAATAATAAATTAATACAAATATTATTTTAATGTGATGTGATTGTGTGGGCCCTAATTATGATGTCTGACGGTTTCGATAGACATCGGTAATGTGCATCCTTTGAAGAAGACTTCTTTCTAGTATCTGGGTGGGCCGATCATTTACAATAAATATGCAAATCTTAAACATCAAGACCCTCCACTTCGAGCCGAGCAAATCTTAAAATGATCGGTTGACCCATATACAGTAAAGAAGTCATCTTCAGAGGACGCACATTACCGACGTCTATCGAAGCCTTTAAGCATCATATTCGAGGCTCACGCGGTCACATTACATTAAGGTATTATTTGTATTATTTTATTCTTCCTTATTTATTGTATATCTGTCAGGCCATATATATATGACTCCAATTATTGAGGATAGATTCCCAGAGAGAGAGATCTCCCAAAAAGAGGAGATAAATCCTTCCAAAATATCAATGAAAAATAAGCTTCATCCTTTATTATTTTGTTCTTCATAAATATACTTAATATCCGAATGATATATCTTGTCGTTGATACGATTTATGATATCAGCATTATGTTGTCTAATTACAAAAAGAAAAGATAAAATAACATTCGTATCCACACCTAATGAGATTCGCAAAAATTGTTGTTAGGTTGTCTAATCAATTTATAATCATACTTTATTGCAAAAAATAAAATACGGTATTTTGCTTAAATATTTTAAAGTATGATATATGAGTGTAAGTATGTACATATGTAGTAATATATGATTATCTTACCATTAGGCACCTAACAAAATATTTGCCGACTAATCACGTACCCAATTTTACGACTGCTAACTGTTAGACAGTAATCGAAAAAACCCCAAATTCTCCAATCCTAACCTGGTTGCGCTTGCGAATCTCCACCTTAACCGATGACGTTCCTCTTTTGGTCTCCTCCCCCTACTTCCCCCAAGTCCTCGCCAGTAAGATGTAGCCGATTTTTTTATTTTCTTTTGTCGCTACCCCTCTCCAGTCTGCCTTTTCAGGAAACTGAGGCAGGCGGGCATCAGGGCTTCCCCCTCCTTTCCGCTTAGTCACAGATTTTCGATCCTGCATGGCGCTCCTCCAGTGTCGATGGCGGCGGGACTGCCCGGCGGCTTTGGCAGCGTGAAGTGGGAGGTCGGGTTTGTCCGCGACTGGTTGCATGTGGGCTTAGCCCTTCGCGTCTCCCATGTTCCCTTTTTAGATGCTTGGAGCTGGTAGCCTACGACGGCTTGGCATCCTGAGCATTGTTTCAAAGCGGACGAGGTTGTGTCGGGGTCGGTTGAGGAGAGGGTCTCTGCATGCTTTCCTGATTGGGAGCCGTAGGGGAGTGAGGCTTGTCTCGAGAGTTAGGTGGACGTAGTTAGCCAACTCTTTTGGAGAAGAGAGTCTGGAAATCCACTCTCAAGTCGTTGTCTTGCTCGCCTTGGTTTTGTTGGTCGGGTGTCTGGCTGCTTGTCGGAGCAGTTTGTTAACTGTAGAGGAGGTTTGTTGTAGTTACGTTTTTGTTGTTTGGTTTAGTTTTTATGTTATGTAGTTGTGTTATGAGTGTGCGTTTGTTGTGTCTGGTTTATGTTTGTGTTTTTTGTGTGTATGTATTCTTATGCTGGGAGTAGGGCTGCAAACGAGTCGAGCAGCTCGCGAGCCGCTCGCGAGCGCTCGAGTCAAAGCTCGACTCGAGCTCGAGTTTGACCGATCTCGAGTCGAGCTCGAGCGGCTCAAGCACGAACTCGAGTCGAGCTCGAGCCCATATATTGCATTGTCGAGCGGCTCGCGAGCGGATCGAGATATGTGAAATTACTAAAATACCCTTGTATATATATGTAATTAATGGTTATTTACAAAATTTCTTGAAAAAATTTGAGCCGAACTCGAGCCGAGCTCGAGCATCATGAATTCGAGTCGAGCTCGAGTCGAGCTCGAGCTCTTGTATGATTTGATCGAGTCGAGCTCAAGCACCAAAAATCGAGCTCGACGAGCTCGAGCTCGAGCTCGAGCACCTAAAAAAAAAAAATTCAATCCGCTCGATAAGGCCAATGCTCGACTCGGCTCGGCTCGTTTGCAGCCCTAACTGGGAGTTTTATAGTTTCTTTTATTTTGTGTTATGACATTTAGGCTACGTTTGGTAGACCTATTGTTTTCGGTTAGTTAGTTGGTTGTAACTACAAATTTGCATCAATTACTTCTAGAAAAAAAAAAAGGGTAGACATTTATTTTTTTCAACAGTTTTACATAATTTGAGAGCATAATGTTACACTTTATAGAATATGATGAATAAAATATGATATTTCATAATTACATATGCAATTTTTTGTTAAGAAAAATATAACTTGACTAACTATATTTAAAGAGTTGACAAAATAATACTATATATTCGAGACAAATGCACTTCGATTAGATTATCAACTTTAGTACTCTTTAGTTGGCAATCTTTGAAAAGAAAACTGATTTTGTTAACTTGTTGCATTTATATGATGGAAGGAAAGTTAAATAAATATCAACGGTGATCATGGGATCATGAACGACAAATTATGAGTAATTGATGTATGTAATCTGATAAAAAATTATGTTATATCAGCCTTTTTTAAGAAAATAAAGAATAAAACAAATAAAATATGATGAAAACGTTCAATACATTTTTCCCCCAAACGGAAGTGCATGACTATTGACTTAGAAAGCACAAATATTTTTGTGAGTTAATATATTTTATGGGAATGTTACGGTCCCGTTGCGAAACATTTTCGTTGGGGTTTGTAATCGTTAGATCAACTATTCCTGACGGTTGCATGATGATCTAACGGTTACAAACTCCGACGAAATGGTTTCGTAACGACACCACAACATTTTCCTATATTTTATTATATAACTTGTTTTTCATGAGCTTCAAAATAGTTCATAATTTAGTGGAGAAAAATAAAGAATATATAGTAGTATTTGAATATTAATTGTGCCTTATTTTTCTAAGCACTATATCAAATATATAAACGTATATAAATTTATCATAGTGAAACACATACAAATTTATACAAAATGCAAATTCCCCTATATATAATTTCTGAATGCGCTGAGTCTATGTGGCTGCTTTTGGTACTTCGAAATCTAATTTGGCGAAAAATCATGCTTCGTAATTAGGTTTGGACAAATAATATTGATATAGTAATAATTAATAATCTAGATTCGGACATTTCATAAATATTATATAGCTAACTTAGGTATTTTAATATCACTTGTATTAATATAACCCTTTAATTCTTTGTAACTTTACATAGTGAGGCACTAAGAGCATCTCCAAGAGACTTATTATTTTAGACTTCTTATTTGGAGAAATAAGGAGTCATCCTATATCCATTTGCTTCCTATTTTTTGTTGTTCTCCAAGAGTCTCCCTATTTTATAATTTGAATATGAACCAGGCCCACAAATCTATCTAAAAGCCCACTTGAAGCCCACTTGATATTGTAATTGTTAACGATTATAATAGTAATTAACCAATTTTATAATATTCACTAATTTTTTTTAATTATTATAATTAGTAATTTATTATTAATTATTTTTTATAATTTTTCCTTTATTAATATAATATTATTTCTTTTTAGATTATTATTATTATTATACTAATTGTTATTATAATTTATTAATTTTTAATCAAATAAATTATTTTTTTGAACAATTTTTATTTTTTTAATTTTTTAATTTTAATTATTATTATTAGTAATATTATTAATTAATTGTTATATTTTTTCATGTATTAATATAATATTATTTCTTTTTAAATTATTATTATTATAATTATTATTATTATTATTATTATTATTATTATTATTATTATTATTATTATTTGAAACAGGGGGTCGTTTTTCCCTCCCCAGAAATGAGGAAGAGAAGCCTCTATTTGAGGTCACCCTAAAAATAGGACCAAGTTTAGGGGAACTGTTGGAGACAGTTTTTGAGAGAAAATCCTTATTTTTGAGATAAAAAAGATAAATAGGGAGGCTCTTGGAGATGCTCTAAGTGACTAATATATCCATGACTTTTGATTTTCTTCCTACAATTAGCTATTGAATTGCAAATGTATTTTAAAAGTTGATAACTTTTGTATTTCTTATCGGTTTTACATATATAATATATCAAATTAACTATCTTTTGATGATCTTCGTTTTGACATCCATATTGTATATATGAAATAATAAATTATATTTATCATTATAATAATAAAAAATAATAATATTTACTAAAATCCATTAGAAAAATAAAATTATATACCAATTGATATATTTATGTTTAATGTAGTTATATGTTGTAAGTTAAAAAATTATTATAATATAGCACAGATAAATCGTACAAATAAAAGTTTTATACTAAATATATAATAATATATATATTTTTATAAAAGGTATAAAATTTTCAACTACGTACCTTTTCTCATTAATTTTAGATTTTAAGAAAAAAATTAGCAAGCACCCGTATAATACACGGGCGTTGTAGTATTATAATATAATGTACTCATAAGCTTAGTCTTGACAATTTAAAGTGTTAAAAAATATGACGAAGTCCATGTCTAACAATTATGTTTCATAAAATATTTTGTTTAGTTTTAATTATATAATCAGTCATGGACAATTAATTCCCACCCAATCTGTATAGCATTCCACCCTATCACATATTTATGATAAGACCGGGCTTGTGATACAACCTTTATTTCTCAATATTCTTTTAATGAAATCAACAAAAAGCAAGAAGATAGTGATGATAATTAAGAATAAGAATCCAATGTTAAGAAAGATGTCCACCAATTCTTCTTATTGATCTCAAAATGTTTAAATAAATAGGAGTTTTTTTTTTCATTACATATCAATTGCTAATTCCCATTTTATAGTATTTTCCTTTTACATATGGTTGTTTGGACATATAATATCAACAACACCATGTAATACATTGATAGTTAAGAAAATGTAATGAGTTCCGACGAGGAGGAGAAGTGAAAACACTTAGATTAATTTTTATTTTATTATTTTTTTAAAAATGTTATCAATATTGTTATGCTAAATTGTAAATTGTACTTCATTTACAATTTAATCTCACACCTTTCAATTTTGACAGCAAAAGACAAGAGCTCTTTATTTGTACAAATCAAAACACGCATGCTAGACGTGGCCACGGGCCACCCGGCACGGACCGGCCCAGACCCACTCCAGTCAAGCCCATTGACCACGAATTTGGGTCTGGGTCCGAGCCCTCAACCGGGCCGGTCCAGGGCCATGTTTTTCCGACCCTGGCTCGGCGGACCAGGCCGGGTATGGAAAAAATACATGGTTTTTAAGTTTTTTTTTTGGACGGGCCCGGCCCGGCCCCGCCGGGCTACGGATCCGGCACGACCCAAGTTCGTGCCGGTTCAGGGTCCATGAAACCCAACCCGCCAACCCACTGGGCCGAGGCGGGCTCGAGCTCAACCCGTGTTTTGTCCATGTCTGATGCAGGCAACAAACGAACATCGAATGCCATATCGAGGTCGTGTCATGAAGAGTGGGAGAAAATGTTACCTAGTCTAACAGTAAGACATATATATTCAACAAATATGTATACTTTTAAATTGAAATGTTATAATCTCAAAATAATATAAATAAAAGTATGATATTTGATAACATAAATATACATTTATTGTGAAAAAGTGTGACGGGTCGACCCGTCTAACGATTAGCAACTTCAAAAGAATTGTGGTGAAAAAATGGGTCTCTAATGTTGCATTTAATACAAGTTTCATTCCCAGGGCCCAATTAAAGCCTGTCCTTTGCTAAAATAAACTCGGCCCAACTACTAAACAGTAACTTGTTAAACAATCTCTCTCCTCTCACTTCTCTCTACAGCCCCCTTTTAACACCCATAGCTATTCCGATAGTGATTTTGGATCTTATCTGCAACAATTTTTTGAACGTTTATCACCGGCAAACAATTCCTCATAAGCTCTAAATTGATTCGTATGTCATCACCGAATGAGCTTCTTTTCTGAAATTTTTCATCCACCGGAGCTGGAGAGACTCGTTTGAATCGATTCCATTGGCTCCGTACGGATTGGCCATGCGACGGTTGTCATCGGCGACGATCGGCCTCTCGAGAGAGGACTCCTCCGCAACCACCGCAGACGCCGCTTGTCAAGGCGCTGAGATTGTATTCGCTGCTGTTGTTGTTTCGAAGCCAGCTGAATTTTCAGAAGCCGATTGCTGTAGATTGTGCGATGGCCGCCGATGCTCATGGCCCTAGCCCAAGGGGAATGCTCTGCAATGCCGGCGCTGGTGCTGCGGCTGGTAATCTATACTGGAAGACTTTTTCTGTTTTGTGGTGGATTTTTAACTAATTCGTGTTTAGGAAGACTTTTTCTGTTTTGTGGTGGATTTTTAACTAATTCGTGTTTACCTTGATCTGAAATGTCTTTTTGCTGTTCTAACTTAAGATATTTTTAGAACGGATAGCTTGACAGTATAGTTTAGTTGTCATGTAATAGTGAGGAAACTAGTGCATTTATAGATTTGGAAGTCTTTGCAATATCGAAAACATGGAAGCATGACCATATATAGAATAAACAATTAGGTGATAGTTTTATTTTGAAAGTGACACCATATTGCTTGAGGAACAATATGCATCAAGTTATTTGTGGGATTATTGGTTCTAGATTATTTTGAGAAGAAACATAGTTAATCATGAAATCGTAGGTTGTTTATAGTTGAAATAACTATCCATTTTATGATGGTGAAAAGAAATGAGACTGATAGTGGAAATTCTTATAATATGATGGTTTTGCAACTTTTATTCGCCTTTGAAATGTTACTGGTCGTAGTCGCATGACTATTTTTTTGTCTGGTCTTAATCACTTGCAATGGACCATCATACCTTGATCTACCGAAACAGGAGTTAAGTTTGGTGTTAGATTGATGGTGGAAGTTTCCATGACGTTGAATTTCAGTGGCTTGCACATATAGAATAGACAATTAGCTGATAGTTTTATTTAAAAAGTGACAGCATGTTGCATGAGGAATAGTAAGCATGAATTGTTTGTGCGATTATTAATTTACCTGGCTCTAGATTATTCTGAGAGCAAATATAGTTGATAATAAAATCATAGGTTGATTATAGTTGAAAATAGAATCCATTTTATCGGGATGAAAAGAAATGAGACTGCTTGCGGTATAATATTTTGTTGTAGTTGGTGCAGGGTGCATCTGCAACTTTTATTCATCTTTAATATGTTACTAGTCCTAACTGCATGACTATTGTTTTTGGTCTGGTCCTAATCAATTGAAATTGAACATTGTACCTTTGATCTACCAAAACAGTAGTTAAGTTTGGTATTACATTAGTGGTGGAAGTTTCTATGAAGTTGAATTCCAATGGCTGGCGTTGTGACTGCAACAATGATAATAGTCATAATTATGTAAATTTCTCTCTTCTGGTCTTAGTTATCTGGTGTTGCTGCACTGGGGAATGATACCAAATTGTTAATGTAACTCTTACGATGTTCGGTTCTTATTCGGTGCAGGAGTGATTGCTGCTACTTTTGTCTGTCCTCTAGATGTTATTAAGACTAGGTTACAAGTCCACGGTCTACCCCAGCTCACTAATGCTAATATCAAAGGTCAGATTTTATTATTTCTGCGTTTACCATCATTAGTATTTCTTTTCTTCTGATCACAATCATATGCATGTGGATTTACTGTCATTTGGTATGTAGTCTCATTTAATGCTGTTTCTCAAAACTGAATATCTTAAGTTTGAGTCCATTTATATATGAGAATGCTTTTTAGGTAAAAGCTTGATGATTATGTTTGTTTATAACTGGACAGGTAGTGTTATAGTAGGAAGCTTAGAGCAGATATTTCAGAAGGAGGGATTACGTGGTATGTACCGCGGGCTCGCCCCTACGGTGCTTGCATTGCTGCCAAATTGGGCAGTAAGTTGGTTATCATATTTAATTAATGTAATCTGTCTGTGTTGGTTATCATGATGCTTCTTGAATGCGGCAGTGAATCATTCTCTTCGCTGTGGCGATGCAAACAAGTTAAATGAGAAATGAATTAGGGGTGAAACTTTTGCAGGTTTATTTTACTATATATGATCAACTGAAGAGTTTTCTTGGTGCCGATGGTTAGTTAACAACTTCCTTTCCCTAGCTTTGTTTCCTTTTGCGGAAACTAAGCAGAATCTGCTGCTTTTTATACTTTTAGATGGGGGAAAAAAAAAAGAAGTTGAAATATTTAATCGTATTATTTACACCCTTACATTAATGAACAATATAGATGTAAATCATCAGCTCTCTATTGGTTCAAATATGATTGCTGCTGCTGGTGCTGGGGCTGTAACGACAATTATGACAAACCCTCTCTGGGTTGTCAAGACAAGGCTTCAAGTAAGCATATGGTGTAGTTATCTTTTCTTTTTATCTATTTATTTGGAAGTAAGACATTTCTGTAACGTTTAATGCTGGCAACATGCAGTTGATTTACGTATCCATTCAAATTGAATTGTTAATCACATGTTTGACATAAGATATAAAATCAGCACAATCTGGCTATGTATTCTCAGTTCAAATTATAATCAATTTCTGGATTTGCTACTCCTGCATTGTACACAATTTGTATATTCTCGAATAAATGCTGGACATTGGAAATGGTCTACTAAAGAAAATAATTGCTTTAATATCGTGTAATCAGTATGCTGAATAATTCAGTGACCTACTGTTGCGTATGCTGTGTGGTGGCTTGTTTCCTTAATGGGGATATGCTGATAGGTTAAGTTGTGTTCAAATTGCTGATAGGTTAAATTGAGTTCAAATTGCAGAACCAATAGGTTTTAACTCAAAAACAAAATTATGGCCTTCACTGATGATAACAACTTAAAATGAATCATGATAATTCCTTCTTTGAAAATTCATATCCAACTTCAAGTTATTTGTTTTTTCACTTAACTTACAAGACTGGTAATTGTTTTGTTTGTACTCAGACACAAGGAATGCGAAAAGGCGTGGTTCCTTATAGGAGTACACTGTCTGCTTTGAGAAGAATCACACATGAGGAGGGTATTCGCGGTTTGTACAGGTTATCATCTATTTCCTTACTTCATGCAGACAGCATATTTTCTTCCTCGTAAGTTTGATCTGTCCTTCTTTTGGATGTTTTTTGGTCTATGCAGTGGGCTTGTGCCAGCTTTGGCCGGTATTAGTCATGTAGCTATTCAATTTCCAACATATGAAAAGATAAAAAGTTACTTGGCTGATCGAGGTATGTGGTAGCTAATTTGTGCCCTGATAATGTTTCATTTATCTTTATTTTCTTGTCATCAATCTTCATTTTTACTCCGAAACGAGCTTCACGTGAATTCATTTTAATGATGATAGATAACACCACAATAGATAAACTTAGTGCAAGTGATGTTGCTGTGGCTTCATCAGTTTCAAAAATATTCGCTTCTACATTGACATATCCTCACGAGGTAACGGTGCAACGAGAACCTTTTAGCTTAGCTGTTCGAGCTTGTTTTGTTGTGCTTTGCTTAATTCCATAAAAACCCGTTTTAGCAATCTATATTCTGTGAACCTTGGATTTCAGTGTTGCTGAAAAATTTTTAACTTCTCTGGTAAATTTTTCAACGATGATACAGAGTCAGTTGACAAACATACCAAATATTATTGTCCTGTTAAGCGGTTCTTATTCATTTAGGCCATGTCGAGTATTGAATTATTTGTGAGCAAAAGATTTTTCTTTAGAAATTCACATTTCTTAATATTTGGCCACAAATGTCTTTTGCCATCTTTTTACAATTTGGTGTTACCATGTTATGTTATGAACACCCTCCTTATCTTTACTCTCACGGTGTAAAAAAAATAAAATAAAACATTTTCATTGTAAAAGCGAAATTTAGCATTGTTTTCTTATATATAACCGTTCAGTTGGTAAGTATTACATTATTTTAGTTCTATTGACTATCGTATTGACATCCATTCAAATTATTAAATGGCACAAGGGAACTTATTTTTCAAACTTCTATATGTTTTATGAAAAAAAAAGCCGATCTTTGTGGGCAAACAAAATCGTAGCCAAGCCTGAAAGAAACTAAAAACTTTTTTTTTTTTTCCCCGTTTTAAACCCTGAATCCAGGTTGTGCGTTCGAGGCTCCAAGAACAAGGGCACCACTCAGAAAAACGTTACTCTGGAGTCATCGATTGCATCAAGAAAGTATTTCAGCAAGAAGGTGTCCCAGGTTTTTACCGAGGCTGTGCCACAAACCTGCTCAGGACAACCCCAGCTGCCGTAATCACTTTCACGAGTTTTGAAATGATTCACCGCTTTCTTGTTACCCTATTTCCGCCCGATCCACACACTGTGAGGGCAAAGCCCTCGTGCATTCATCATAAAAATTGATCACAAAATTTATCTTTTTATCTTTTTTTTTTTCATGACTGAAAATTCCATGCTGGCATGTAATTTGGTGATAATTACACCTAAGCTGCTGTGTTATGTTTGATAAACAATGTCATAATGATAGTAATATTTTTTTTTTTTTTTTGGCTGATTGATTTGTGATTTATTTAAAATGTTGGAGGGTAACAGAAGGGGGAATGATAATTAATGATGATAAATTGTTATGTTTTATAAATTGTAGTTTCATTGTTGTCGATGATTTCTCCGTCTTATCGAGACAAAAATTTCTGTTTTTCTTTTTCGTCTGTTTTTTCTTCCTCAATTTCTGCCCTTTTTTCAACACTGCAAACTATTACTATGATCCTTTGCATGATATGGCATGTCAGTGTTGTAACTTCTAAAGTGCACGATCAACCTGCGAAGGTAAAAAAGACTCACCAAAGGGTCTATAAGTCTATAACATATGATATATTTGTGTGCATGAACCAAATGCTTTTCTTTATGCATTCATTTTTTCCTTGTATACATATATATATACACAGGCCCGCTCACCTAATTAATTGAAAAACGTATTATCAAAATACGTTTTTCATATAAAACAAACTAGTGGGCACTGCCCACCGTGGTAATTAATTGAAAAACGTATTCTCAAAATACGTTTTTCATATAAAACAAACTAGTGGGCACTGCCCACCGTGGGCAGGGGAATATATTTATATATATATATAATTTTATTTTATTTTATTTTATTTTTTTTTTTTATTTCTGGCCCCTGTGAAAACACATTAAATACATTAATTAAGAAACAAAAATATCAAAAATGGTAAAACATGACCTGTGACCACCATCTAACAACTCAATGAATCAAACATCATTATGGTTCAATCCAATTTTATCCAAAGGAAACGAACCTGGATAGAGAAATGACTCTACTCATCGTAATTTTCATACCACATATTCTTGCATCAGACGACTTAACCTAACAGCAAGTCAGCTCGTCATAACTTTATAACAAAAAATGCATATTTAAGCTATTGACTATCAGAGTATGACATTTCAATTTTAACACGTATATTCGTTGAGAATATTATAACCGACTAACTATTAGATCGGCTTAATAATATAATAGGCTTACCGTTTTGATATACATGCTGTAAAAGTTACATTTCATTTTTTTTTTAGAAGGCATATATATATATATAGGAGTGCAATGCTGTCATGATATGTAGGGATTAATGCTGGTTGTTTCATGGACCCCTTTACCTTATTACTAAGAAAAAAACAACAAACATATGATATGAACCCTTTTTTACTTTTATTTGTTGTTTACTTTATTCTAATCAAAAGCCAGAGTTAGATAGATATATATGGTTTTAATAAAGTCGTAACCCAATTCGTGTCTCTGGCCATGCCTCTTCATAATAATCAATAATATTCAATCAAAAAATAGGTTACACTCGAAAATGAAGGTTGTGACATCAAAAGCCTACCAACCTAATTAGATATACATATATTTACATAAAAAATATGTGTTAATCTGGATTAACATAATAGGTTTTCAATCATTAGATGCTTAATTATGTCGTGTCTTTGATGCGAAATTTAATTGATCAGTATCCCTCCCTATATATTAACTCAAAACGTGTTGAGCTTAGGTGGCAGATTCTCACGCTTCGGATGCTGACATGGCGAAAATCTATCCTTCGTGATATTGTTTTTATATTAATTTTGTTATGAAGTTAGGTTTGATATTAGACATAATAAATTTTACACATATATTCAATAATTCAAACCTATGTTATACATGGGTATTAATACTAGTTTAGATTTAGACCCGAATAACCTCTTTAAGATTATTTGAAATTTGGCTAATTAGAACACAGTTAATTGATTGGGTTTGCGTTAATCATCATTTTATTTGGGGACAATGGAATATATTAAGGAGATAATGATCATTAGCGGGTAACATGTAGTTGTCGATAAAGTCAATTTATGTCCTCTTGGGAAGATATGATTGCAAAAGTGGGAAAATGGACCTCTACAGAAATTTTCATCAATCAATTATGTCAAATTAGTAGCAGGTATTAAAGGTGTAAATGAAGTCGCGAGTTCGAGCTCGAGCTCATGATGTTTGATTCGAGCTTTTATCGAGTTGACCTATAATGAAGTTTATCAGTACTGAGTTGTGCTAGAGCCGAATTCAAGTATTTTCTAGTTGATCTATAAGTATCGAAATCCTCATTTTGAAGCCTTCTAAATGAGATTTAAACGAGCCCAAGCTCAGCCGAAATCAAGTCTTAACGAACTGACAATTCGTCTCAATAAACAACTCTAGCAGCTATAACACTTGGGGATAGTCATTTAGTTGTATGTATGATTTTCATATATACGAACTATTCATCAAGCTTACATTTTTTTTTTTCTTTTTCAATATTTTTAGTTTCCAGTGCACTTTTTAAAATAAAAATAATCATCATAGACATTGTTAAATATTATAATATTCATTCAATCACATTTTTTATTTTATTATGTTTATATTATACCAAAGTTAACTATTAGATTTGTATCATACACCTATCTTTCAATTAAATATCTTCTACGAGCTTTATCCATTAAAAGATCATTTTTCAATAAAACTATATTCAATGGTACCCTTAGTGGTGTTGCCTTTGATGGACCATTTCTTTTTCTATTATTTGAGCCACTTTTAATCTGCAGCATGTGAAATTAGGATTAAAAAAGCGGCACATTTAATTATTTTTGTGTGAAATAGGGGTGCAAATGAGGGGAACAGCTGATCACGAGCCGCTCGCGACCAACTCGAGTCTTTCGATAAAACTCGAGTTCGAGTAGTTCATCGACTAAACGATGGGGTCTTGAGCATCATTTCAAGAGGCTTGTAAACTCTATCACTACAAAAAAACACTACAATTCCAACGAAAAATTCAACGGCAAAAATTTCCGTTGGAAATTCCAATGAATATTCCAACAAATTTAATTTTATGTTGGAATAAGTGTTGGATAGTTGAGAAATTCCAACGGATTTTTTCCGTTGGCATAGCTGTAGGAATTTATTTTCATAGGATTTTCTGTTGGATATTTGCTATTCCAACGGCCATTTTTCCAACGGATTTTTATACGTAGGAATATCCGTTGGAATAGCTATTCTAATGGAAATATAAAAAATTCCAACAGAAAATTTTCGCTGGAATGTAAAAGTTTTTTTTGTAGTGTATGAACCACTCAAAATTTTATTTACATAAATAACCCATATATTTAATTATTAACATTAATACATAA